TAGCAACAAGGCAGGACAGGGGGACACCATCTCTGGAAGTGTCTTAGCAACGTCCTAGCAACAAGGCAGGACAGGGGACACCATCTCTGGAGTGTCTTAGCAGTCCTTAGCAACAAGGCAGGACAGGGGGACCATCTCTGGAAGTGTCTTAGCAACGTCCTAGCAACAAGGCAGGACAGGGGGGGAGCCATCTCTGGAAGTGTCTTGCAACGTCCTAGCAACAAGGCAGGACAGGGGACACCATCTCTGGAGTGTCTTAGCAACGTCCTAGCAACAAGGCAGGACAGGGGGACACCATCTCTGGAAGTGTCTTAGCAACGTCCTAGCAACAAGGCAGGACAGGGGGACCCCATCTCTGGAAGTGTCTTAGCAACGTCCTAGCAACAAGGCAGGACAGGGGACGCCCATCTCTTGAGTGTCTTAGCAACGTCCTAGCAACAAGGCAGGACAGGGGGACCCATCTCTGGGAGTGTCTTAGCAACGTCCTAGCAACAAGGCAGGACAGGAGGGGACCCCATCTCTGGAAGTGTCTTAGCAACGTCCTAGCAACAAGGCAGGACAGGGGGACCCCATCTCTGAAGTGTCTTAGCAAGCGTCCTAGCAACAAGGCAGGACAGGATATGGGGATGTCCCCAGGCTCTGGAAGATGATGTCTCTTGAGCTTAGCAACATCCTAGCAACAAAGCAGGACATGGGGACCCCATCTATGGAAGTGTCTTAGCAACGTCCTAGCAACAAGGCAGGACAGGGGGACACCATTTGTGGGAGTTTCTTAGCAACGTCCTAGAAACAAGGCAGGACAGGGGGACACCATCTCTGGAAGTGTCTTAGCAACGTCCTAGCAACAAGGCAGGACTGGGGGACGCCATCTCTGGAAGTGTCTTAGGGTCCTAGCAACAAGGCAGGACCACCATCTCTGGAAGTGTCTTAGCAACGTCCTAGGACAACAAGCAACGTCCAGGACAGGGGGGACGTCCTCTCAGGGGAGTGTCTTAGCAACGTCCTAGCAACAAGGCAGGACAGGGGGACCCCATCTCTGGAAGTGTCTTAGCAACGTCCTAGCAACAAGGCAGGACAGGGGGACCCATCTCTGGAAGTTTCTTAGCAACGTCCTAGGCAGGACAGGGGGACCCATCTCTGGAAGTTAGCAACGTCCTAGCAACAAGGCAGGACAGGGGGACCCATTCTCTGGAAGTGTCCATCTAGCAACAAGGCAGGACTGGGGGACCCAAGTGTCTTAGCAACGTCCTAGCAACAAGGCAGGACAGGGGGACCCCATCTCTGGAAGTGTCTTAGCAACGTCCTAGCAACAAGGCAGGACAGGGGGACAGCATGTCCTGGACAGGAAGATGAAGTGTGTCTCCTAGCAACAAGGCAGGACAGGGGGACCCCATCTCTGGAAGTGTCTTAGCAACGTCCTAGCAACAAGGCAGGGACCCCATCTCTGGAAGTGTCTTAGATCCTACCAACAAGGCAGGACAGGGGGACCCCATCTCTGGAAGTGTCTTAGCAACGTCCTAGCAACAAGGCAACATCTGGAAGTGTCCTTATGCACATCTAACACAAGGCAGGACAGGGGACCCCATCTCTGGAAGTGTGTCTTAGCAACGTCCTAGCAACAAGGCAGGACAGGGGGACCCCATCTCTGGAAGTGTCTTAGCAACGTCCTAGCAACAAGGCAGGACAGGACACCATCTCTTGAAGTGTCTTAGCAACGTCCTAGCAACAAGGCAGGACAGGAGGACACCATCTCTGGGAGTGTCTTAGCGATGTCCTAGCAACAAGGCTGGACTGGAAGATGAATCTCTTGAGTGTTTCTTAGCAACATCCTAGCAACAAGCCAGGACAGGAGGACACCATCTCTGGGAGTGCCTTAGCGACGTCCTAGCAACAAGGCAGGACTGGGGGACGCCATCTCTGGAAGTGTCTTAGCAATGTCCTAGCAACAAGGCAGGACAGGACAACATCTCTGGAAGTGTCTTAGCAACGTCCTAGCAACAAGGCTGGACAGGAAGATGATGTCTCTTGAGTTTCTTAGCAACATCCTAGCAACAAAGCAGGACATGGGGACCCCATCTATGGAAGTGTCTTAGCAACGTCCTAACAACAAGGCAGGACAGGGTGACACCATTTGTGGGAGTTTCTTAGCAACGTCCTAGAAACAAGGCTGGACAGGGGGACACCATCTCTGGAAGTGTCTTAGCAACGTCCTAGCAACAAGGCAGGACTGGGGGACGCCATCTCTGGAAGTGTCTTAGCAACGTCCTAGCAACAAGGCAGGACAGGACACCATCTCTGGGAGTGTCTTAGCAACGTCCTAGCAACAAGGCAGAACAGGGGGACCCCATCTCTGGAAGTGTCTTAGCAACGTCCTAGCAACAAGGCAGGACAGGGGGACCCCATCTCCGGAAGTGTCTTAGCAACGTCCTAGCAACAAGGCAGGACAGGACACCATCTCTGGGAGTGTCTTAGCAACGTCCTAGCAACAAGGCAGGACAGGGGGACCCCATCTCTGGGAGTGTCTTAGCAACATCCTAGCAACAAGGCAGGACAGGAGGACACCATCTCTGGAAGTGTCTGAGCAACGTCCTAGCAACAAGGCAGGACAGGGGGACACCATCTCTGGAAGTGTCTTAGCAAAGTCCTAGCAACAAGGCAGGACAGGGAGGACACCATCTCTGGGAGTGTCTTAGCGATGTCCTAGCAACAAGGCTGGACAGGAAGATGATGTCTCTTGAGTTTCTTAGAAACATCCTAGCAACAAAGCAGGACATGGGGACCCCATCTATGGAAGTGTCTTAGCAACGTCCTAACAACAAGGCAGGACAGGGTGACACCATTTGTGGGAGTTTCTTAGCAACGTCCTAGAAACAAGGCTGGACAGGGGGACACCATCTCTGGAAGTGTCTTAGCAACGTCCTAGCAACAAGGCAGGACAGGGGACCACATCTCTGGAAGTGTCTTAGCAACGTCCTAGCAACAAGGCAGGACAGGACACCATCTCTGGGAGTGTCTTAGCAACGTCCTAGCAACAAGGCAGAACAGGGGGGACCCCATCTCTGGAAGTGTCTTAGCAACGTCCTAGCAACAAGGCAGGACAGGGGGACCCCATCTCCGGAAGTGTCTTAGCAACGTCCTAGCAACAAGGCAGGACAGGACACAATCTCTGGGAGTGTCTTAGCAACGTCCTAGCAACAAGGCAGAACAGGGGGACCCCATCTCTGGAAGTGTCTTAGCAACGTCCTAGCAACAAGGCAGGACAGGGGGACCCCATCTCCGGAAGTGTCTTAGCAACGTCCTAGCAACAAGGCAGGACAGGACACAATCTCTGGGAGTGTCTTAGCAACGTCCTAGCAACAAGGCAGGACAGGGGGACCCCATCTCTGGGAGTGTCTTAGCAACGTCCTAGCAACAAGGCAGGACAGGAGGACACCATCTCTGGAAGTGTCTCAGCAACGTCCTAGCAACAAGGCAGGACAGGGGGACACCATCTCTGGAAGTGTCTTAGCAAAGTCCTAGCAACAAGGCAGGACAGGAGGACACCATCTCTGGGAGTGTCTTAGCGATGTCCTAGCAACAAGGCTGGACAGGAAGATGATGTCTCTTGAGTTTCTTAGCAACATCCTAGCAACAAAGCAGGACATGGGGACCCCATCTATGGAAGTGTCTTAGCAACGTCCTAACAACAAGGCAGGACAGGGTGACACCATTTGTGGGAGTTTCTTAGCAACGTCCTAGAAACAAGGCTGGGCAGGAGGACACCATCTCTGGAAGTGTCTTAGCAACGTCCTAGCAACAAGGCAGGACTGGGTGACGCCATCTCTGGGAGTTTTTCAGTCAGGTTTCAGGAGGAATGTAAATCGTCCACACCTCCAGGAAGGGCATTATTCGTGGTTTGGCGCCGTACTTATTCCCGTATGTCGGAGGCGGTCCTACGGGGGTGGTATTTTAGTACATTGGATGGTAAACCTGCGCTGTGCGCGGTAAGACCACCAGAAGTGCCGCATTCCATTTGTATCTGAGGTAACAGATTATTGCTGAGTACACAGCCCCACAGGTGAACATATTTGACGGGTACGGGGGGGGGGCGTGCTGTCAGCTGAACTGGTTAATAAAGTATTTTTTGTTTTGGTACCACGTGACCAGAGAGCCACACACGGCGCCGTCCCGTCAGAGCGGCATTTCTCCCCCCCCCCCGCGCGCTGCACTCTGGGAGACAGGGAATCCTCTGCGAGGGACGCCAGCAGCCCCGCCCACGCCAGAGTTTGCGTCCCGCGCCTCGCTCTCGCCTCAGCAAGCCCCTGATTGGCCACACGTTGCCTCAAGGCGGGGCCCACGTCAAGCTGGCCGGCCAGTGATTGGTCGGGGCGCATCGATGGACGGGCCGAAGGGCGCGTCGCGCGCCAGTCGGAGAAGGAGGAGGGGGGAGGAAGCGGCCCGCTCACGTGACCACGTTTCGTATCGGGCGGGAGATGCGGCCGCGAGAGGGCCCGAGCCGTCCACGGTGACGTCCGGTCCAGTCACGTGCTCGGCGGTGTTGGCTCTGACAGGAAGAGGGGAGGGGGTGTTCCTGACGTCACGTGGTGGCACTCAGCTTGTGACAAGTTCTGGAGGTGGCCCCCTGTGGGGTAAGTGAGTGGCCCTGGGGGGGCTGCTGTGTGGGGTGTTCATGAGGTGGGGTCCCCTCTAATGTTTGTTTTCCTCGCCTTTTTCACAGATGCCGGGCCATGCGGCCGACCGCCGTTGACCGTCCACACCTGCCCTGACCCTCGTCGCGCCATGAGTTGCCGGGACGACAAGGAGGAGTGCTCCCCTCCCCCGGCCAAGCAGCCCCGGGTGGCGGAGGCGGAGGAGAACGGCAGAAAAGATGGCGTCCTGGACCCGCCGGCCAGCCAGGAGGCTCAGGCCGCCCAGGCGCTGTGCGAGATGACCAACTGGAGGGATTCGGGGGAGCCGGTGCCGCCGCCGGAGAAGAAGAACCCGGAGGAGCCCAACGGCGGGCTCCCCGTCTGCACCCCGGAGAGGGGCGACACCGGGCGAGAGCGCCCGAGGGATGCCGCACGTCCCCGAGGGCGGGGAGACCGCCGAGAAGAACCCGTCGCCGCGGAAGCCGGTGGACAAGGAGCTGGTGGAGCCGTACCGGAGGAACGGGGCAGCAGAACCTGGACGGGACGGGGCTGGAGGAGCCGGCCGTGTTGTCGCCCCTGTCCTCCGATTCCGGGGAGGCGGGGGAGCGGAACTCTTGTAGCGAGGGGGACGAGTGCTGCATTGTCAGCGTCGGGACTCAGCCGTCCAGCTCCGACCGCTCCCTGCAGGCCCTGGAGACTGTGCAGGAGGAGCTCAGGGCCGTCAACGAGCGCGCCGACCGGGCGCTGCTGCAGCTCAAGAGGCGGTATGGACAGCTAAGGAAGCCGCACATCCAGAAACGCAATTCCATCATACGCTCTATCCCCGGGTTCTGGGTCACCGCTGTATCCTAATATGTCTTGTCGGGGCTGCTTGTGGTTCGTGGGCTCGTGCTTACAGGCTGGACGCCGCCAGGAGGGCGCGTGTACGAGTCACGGGTGTCTGCGTGCAGCTGCTGCCTGTATAAAGCAGTGAAAGGCCTGATAGTGGCTGCGGCTGTACTAATGTGACAGCTCACCCGTTCCTGTATTCGTGCAACCTCTGGGACAGTCACATCTGTACAGATCAATGACAGGCTGAGGGATGCTGAATCTGTATGGAGGTGACTGCTCACCCGTCCCTGTATGCATGCAACCTCTGGGACAGTCACATCTGTACAGATCAATGACAGGCTGACGGATCAATGACAGGCTGACGGATGCTGAAGCTGTATGGAGGTGACTGCTCATCCATCCCTGTATGCATGCAACCTCTGGGACAGTCACATCTGTACAGATCAATGACAGGCTGACGGATCAATGACAGGGTGACAGATGCTGAAGCTGTATGGAGGTGACTGCTCATCCATCATTGTATGCATGCAACCACTGGGATGAATGGTGACGTCTATACAGATCAATGACAGGCTGACCGATACCACCATTGTACTGATGGGACTGCTCACCCGTTCCTGTATTCATGCAACCTCTGGGACAGTCACATCTGTACAGATCAATGACAGGCTGACGGATGCTGAAGCTCTATGGAGGTGACTGCTCATCCATCCCTGTATGCATGCAACCTCTGGGGTGAGTGGTGACTTCTGTACAGATCAATGACAGGCTGACCGATGCTGCCATTGTACTGATGGGACTGTTAATCCATCCCTGTATGCATGTAATCTCTGGGATTAGTGTTGACATTTGTACAGATCAATGACAGGCTGACGGATGCTGAAGCTCTATGGAGGTGACTGCTCATCCATCCCTGTATGCATGCAACCTCTGGGGTGAGCGGTGACTTCTGTACAGATCAATGACAGGCTGACTGATGCTGCCATTGTACTGATGGGACTGTTAATCCATCCCTGTATGCATGTAATCTCTGGGATTAGTGTTGACATTTGTACAGATCAATGACAGGCTGACAGATGCTTCAGCTGTATTGATGGGACTGCTAATCCATCCCTGTATGCATGTAACCTCTGGGATGAGTGGTGACTTCTGTACAGAGCAATGACAGGCTGACAGATGCTGCCATTGTACTGATGGGATTAGTGTTAACATTTGTACAGATCAATGACAGGCTGACGGATGCTGAAGTTGTATGGAGGTGACTGCTCATCTATCGCTGTATGCATGCACCCTCTGCGATGAGTGGTGACTTCTGTACAGGTCAATGACAGGCTGACCGATACCACCATTGTACTGATGGGACTGCTCACCCGTTGACCTGTATGCATGCAGCCTCTGGGACTGACTGTCACATCTGTACAGATCAATGACAGGCTGACAGATGCTGAAGCTGTATGGAGGTGACTGCTCACTCATCCCTGTATGCATGCAACCTCTGGGATGAGCGGTGACTTCTATACAGATCAATGACAGGCTGACGGATGCTGAAGTTGCATGGAGGTGACTGCTCATCCATCGTTGTATGCTTGCAACCTCTGGGATGATTGGCGACTTCTGGAAAGATCAATGACAGGCTGACCGTTACCACCATTGTACTGATGGGACTGCTCATCCGTCCCTGTATGCATGCAACCTCTGGGACTGACTGTCACATCTGTACAGATCAATGACAGGCTGACAGGTGCTGTATGGAGGTGACTGCTCATCCATCCCTGTATGCATGCAATTTCTGGGACATTCACATCTGTACAGATCAATGACAGGCTGACAGATGCTGTATGGAGGTGACTGCTCATCCATCCCTGTATGCATGCAATTTCTGGGACAGTTACATCTGTACAGATCAATGACAGGCTGACAGATGCTGAAGTTGTATGGAGGTGACTGCTCACCCGTCCCTGTATGCGTGCAACCTCTGGGGTGAGCGGTGACTTCTGTACAGATCAATGACAGGCTGAACGATGCTGCCATTGTACTGATGGGACTGTTAATCCATCCCTGTATGCATGTAACCTCTGGGATGAGTGGTGACTTCTGTACAGAGCAATGACAGGCTGACAGATGCTGCCATTGTACTGATAGGACCGCTCATCCATCCCTGTATACATGTACCTTTTGGGATGAATGGCAGCACCTGTACTGCCAAGAGCCTGTATGGATCAATGACCGGCTGAGAGGCTGCTGCTGTATTCATGTGATCGCTCATCCATCCCTGTATACATGTACCTCTGGGATGCATGGCAACACTTGTACTTACAGGAGCCTGTACGGATCAATGACAGGCTGCTGCTGTATTCATGTGATCGCTCCTCCATCCCTGTGTACATGTACCTCTGGGATGAATGGCAACACCTGCACTTACAGGAGCCTGTACGGATCAATGACAGGCTGAGAGGCTGCTGCTGTATTCATGTGATCGCTCATCTATCCCTGTATACATGTACCTCTGGGATGAAAGGCAACACCTGTACTGCCAGGAGCCTGTATGGATCAATGACAGGCTGAGAGGCTGCTGCTGTATTCATGTGATCGCTCATCCATTCCTGTATACGTGTGCATGTAACCTCTGGGATGAGCGTCTCTGCAGCAGCAGCCAGAAACCTGTACAAGTCAATGACAGGCTGACATGCTGCAGCTTTGCAGGTCTGATTTCTGATCCATCTCTGGAATGATTGGTAACCAATGTACAGCTGCAACCAGGAGCCTGTAGAGAGCAATGACAGGCTGACATATGCTGTGGTTCTATGGATGTGCTCGTTTATACAGCCCTGTATCCATGTAATCTCTGGGATGAGTGGTGACATCTGTACAGATCAATGACAGGCTGACCGATACTGTGGCTCTATGGATGTTACCGCTCATCCATCCCTGTATGCATGTCACCTAAGATTTGAGCAGTAACATCTGTACAGCCATGTCCAGGAGCCTGTACAGATCAATGACAGGCTGACAGATGTGATGGCACATCCCAGAGATGCATATGTACAGGGAGGTCACATCAGTACAGCTGCGGCATCTCTCAGCCTGTCATTGACCTGCAGAGGGGCTCCTGGCCACGGCTGTACAGATATGACTGTTCATCACTGAGGTACATGCATACAGAGCTGGGTGAGCTGTCGCTTATACCTCGGGGATGAGCAGTCATATCCGTACAGTCGTGGCCAGGAGCCTGTGCAGATCAATGACAGGCTGACATGCTACAGCTATGCAGATGCAATGGCAGATCCCAGAGATATATATGTAGGGGAGGCCACATCCATAAAGCTGCAACATCTCTCAGCCTGTCATTGATCTGTACAGGATTTTAGCCATGGCTGTACAGATGTGACTGCTCGTCCTTAAGGTACATATGTACAGGGAGGTCATAGTACAGCTGCAACTTTTCTCAGCCTGTCATTGATCTGTACAAGATCCTTGCCATGGCTGTACAGATGTGACTGCTCGTCCCTGAGGTAAATGCATGTAGAGATGGGTGAGTTGTCGCTTATACCTCGGGGATGAGCAGTCATATCTGTACAGTCATGGCCAGGAGCCTGTGCAGATCAATGACAGGCTGACATGCTACAGCTATGCAGATGCAATGGCAGATCCCAGAGATACATATGTACAGGGAGGCCACATCCGTAAAGCTGCAACATCTCTCAGCCTGTCATTGATCTGTACAGGCTCCTGGCCACGGCATTGTACAGATGTGACTGCTCGTCCTTGAGGTACATATGTACAGGGAGGTCACAGTACAGCTGCAACTTTTCTCAGCCTGTCATTGATCTGTACAGGCTCCTGGCCATGGCTGTACAGATGTGACTGCTCGTCCCTGAGGTAAATGCATATAGAGATGGGTGAGCTGTCGCATATACCTCAGGGACGAGCAGTCACATCTGTACAGCCATGGCCAGGAGCGTGTACAGATCAATGACAGGCTGAGAAAAGTTGCAGCTGTACTGTGATCTCCCTGTACATATGTACCTTTGGGACGAGCAGTCATATCTGTACAGATCAATGACAGGCTGAGAGATGTCGCAGCTGTAATGATGTGACCTCCCTGTACATATGTACCTCAGGGATGAGCAGTCATATCTGTACAGATCAATGACAGGCTGAGAGATGTTGCCGCTGTACTGTTGGGACCTCCCTGTACATATGTACCTCCTGGGACGAGCAGGCAGTACAAATCAATGACAGGCTGAGAGATGTCGCAGCTGTAATGATGAGACCTCCCTGTACATATGTACCTCAGGGGGATGAGCAGTCATATCTGTACAGATCAATGACAGGCTGAGAGATGTCGCAGCTGTAATGATGAGACCTCCCTGTACATATGTACCTCAGGGATGAGCAGTCATATCTGTACAGATCAATGACAGGCTAAGAGATGTTGCGGCTGTACTGTTGGGACCTCCCTGTACATATGTACCTCCTGGGACGAGCAGGCAGTACAAATCAATGACCGGCTGAGAGATGTCGCAGCTGTAATGATGAGACCTCCCTGTACATATGTACCTCAGGGACAAGCAGTCACGTCTGTACAGATGCAGCCAGGAGCCTGTAGAGATCAATGACAGGCTGACAGACGCCGTGGCTGTACGAATGTGACCGCAAGTCGCAGAGGTTCAACATTTATCGCTGGTTAACCTCTTGGCGCCAGCCACGCACAAACATGCGTCCTCTCGGCGTCTGGGCCTTGACACCGAGAGCGGCCGCACATTTGCGTGCAATTAAGAAAAACCTATGTGCTGAGAGCGCTCCCAGCACACACGTCCGGTACTCACGGAAAGGTCCCGATCTTCTCTTGCGATCGGGACCTTTCCTGATCACAAGACGGTGAATCACGGCGGTCACATGATCCTAAAACCCCGCCCCGGCTTCTGAAACCCTTAAAGAGCCGGGAGGCGCCAAATTACTTCATCATTTTAGAATTCTTGCAATCGAGGTTGCAGTGTGTATGGTCGATGTGCCAGGCTGATATCCGGGTGAATATATTTTTTCCCAGATTAGGAAAATTCTGACCACCGGCATTAAATGGCTAAGGGCTCCCGGGGTCCTTTGGGCGTCCGCATCACTGCCTGCTTAATGTGCATACCTCCTATTTATGGAGGTGACCCTTGCACAGGTCAGATACACGTTTCCAGCCAGCATGTAGAACTGTAGGGTCATGCACAGGGGCGGACTGACAACTCATGGGGCCCCCGGGCAATAGGGGATCATGGGGCCCCTGTGCCCTTGCCCAAACTCAAAAAAGCCTATGAAAAAGGTACCAGGGGCATCTCATGGGGACCGTGGGCCCTTGGGCAGTGCCTGAGTTTCCAAATGGTCAGTCCGCCCCTGTTCATGCATTGACTTTATCACCATTGTAGGGCCTGTTAACTGAGCTCAGTAGCTCAAGCTGAAATTCATACGCAGCAGCTTGATCAGAGGAGTTACTTTTTTTCCCCTCCATCCTCTGTTTCTATGGCGTTTGAGGGACCCTGAAACCAAACTTGTATTGCTCTGTGATGTCATTGTCATGGGCCCCGCCCCCATTAAAGTTTTTTTTTTTTTTTTTTTTTTTTTTAAGTACAGGGGGGAAAAAAATCGGACAAAAAGTCAGTATGGTTTCCCTTTCGCCACGTCAAAATAACCGATAATTATAGAAATACGGGGGTGGGGGGGGTTACCTTGTCTGATCTGACAAATCCCATTGGCCTGGCCGTTATGCTGATCCGCCGGCTTCAGTACTTTGAGTCAGTACACTATATACAGTACTGTGCAAAAGTTTTAGGCAGGTGTGAAAAATGCTGTAAATGAAGAACGCTTTCAGAAATCAGAAATTTTATTTGACAAAAAATGGGAGTTAGGAGAAATCCAAATCCGATGAATATTCGGTGTGAACGCCCTTCGCCGCCTTCTAGGTCGACTTGCACACAGTTTTTGAAGGAACCCGACAGGTAGGTTCTCCCAAACATCTCGGAGAACTAAGCACAGATCTTCTGTGGATGTCGGCTTCTTCAAATCCTTCTGTCTCTTCTTGTCATCCCAGACGGACTCCATGATGTTGAGATCAGGGCTCTGTGGGGGGCCAAAACCATCTCTCCCAGGACTCCTTGTTGTTCTTTACACTGAAGATGGTTCTCGCTGACATTGGTTGTATGTTTTGGGGTGGTTTGTTCTGCTGCAGAATGAATTTGGGGGACAATCACGCGTTGAGGACACCATAGATCCTGACCAAGTCTCACAACTCCATTTGAAGAAATGTAGCTCCAAACTTGTAGGTAACCTCCACCATGCTTCACAGTTGGCTGCAGGCACTCATTATTGTAAGGCTTTCCAGCCCTTCGGTGAACAAACTGCCTTCTGCTACAGCCAAATATTTAGCATTTTGGCTGATCAGTCCAGAGCACCTGCTGATGGTTTTCTGCACCCCGGGTCCTGTGTTTTCCTGCGGAGTTGAGGTGCTTAGCCTTGTTTTCACGTCAGAGGTTTGGCCTTTTGGCCGCAACTCTTCCATGAAGACCACTTCAGGCTTTACACCACGGCATCCGACGCTTTGCATGGCACTTGGTGATGGAAGGCTTGGATGCAGCTGCTACCATGGAAACCAGGGGCGGACTGACAACTCATGGGGCCCCCGGGCAATAGGGGATCATAGGGCCCCTGTGTCCTTGCCCAAACTCAAAAAAGCCTATGAAAAAGGTTCCAGGGGCATCTCATGGGGCCCCCTACTGACCCTGGGCCCTTGGGTAGTGCCCGAATTTCCAAATGGTCAGTCCGCCCCTGATGGAAAATCCATTCCATGAAGCTCTCTATGCACTGCTGTTGTGATTGATGTACATTTTATGAATGACACCATGAGACACCATGAGGACCTACATGATCGATGGACATCTTTGAGTGGATGATCAGTAGACATCGTATGAATGACACCATGAGACTACATGATCGATGGACATCTTCGGAATGACACCATGAGACTACATGATCGATGGACACTTCGGATCGACACCATGAGAGGAATGACACATGAGATCAATGTGATCAATTTTTTTGAGTGGCACCATGATGACTACATGATCAGTAGACATCGTATGAATGACACCATGAGACTACATTATCGATGGACACGTGACATCTTAGGAATGACACCATCAATGGACACCTTAGGAATGACACCATGAAACTACATGATCAATGGACATCTTAGGAATGACACCATGAGACTACGTGATCAATGGACATCTTAGGAATGACACACCATGAGACTATCTTCGGGAATGATCAATGAACATCTTAGGAATGACACCATGAGACTACGTGATCAATGGACATCTTAGGAATGACATCACGAGACTACATGATCAATGGCCATTTTTTGATCACGAGACTACACCGTGAGACTACATGATCAGTAGACCTACATGATCGATGGACATCTTAGGAATGACATCACGAGACTACATGATCAATGGACATCTTAGGAATGACATCACGAGACTACATGATCAATGGACATCTTAGGAATGACATCACGAGACTACATGATCAATGGACATCTTAGGAATGACATCATGAGACTACATGATCAATGGACATCTTAGGAATGACATCACGAGACTACATGATCAATGGACATCTTAGGAATGACACCATGAGACTACATGATCGATGGACATCTTAGGAATGACACCATGAGACTACATGATCGATGGACATCTTAGGAATGACACCATGAGTGGACTACTTATGACCGATGGACATCTTAGGAATGACACCATGAGACTACATGATCGATGGACATCTTAGGAATGACATCACGAGACTACATGATCGATGGACATCTTAGGAATGACTTCACGAGACTACATGATCGATGGACATCTTAGGAATGACATCACGAGACTACATGATCGATGGACATCTTAGGAATGACATCACGAGACTACATGATCGATGGACATCTTCGGAATGACATCACGAGACTACATGATCAATGGACATCTTCGGAATGACATCACGAGACTACATGATCAATGGACATCTTAGGAATGACACACCATCAATGGACATCTTATGAATGACACCATGAGACACTACATGATCATGAATGGACATCTTAGGAATGACATCACGAGACTACATGATCAATGGACATCTTAGGAATGACATCACGAGACTACATGATCAATGGACATCTTAGGAATGACATCACGAGACTACATGATCAATGGACATCTTAGGAATGACATCACGAGACTACATGATCAATGGACATCTTAGGAATGACATCACGAGACTACATGATCAATGGACATCTTAGGAATGACATCACGAGACTACATGATCAATGGACATCTTAGGAATGACATCACGAGACTACATGATCAATGGACATCTTAGGAATGACACCACGTGACTACATGTTCAGTGGACATCTTAGGAATGACACCATGAGACACATGATCATTGGACATCTTAGGAATGACACCATGAGACCACATGATCAATGGACATCTTAGGAATGACATCACGAGACTACATGATCAATGGACATCTTAGGAATGACATCACGAGACTACATGATCAATGGACATCTTAGGAATGACATCACGAGACTACATGATCAATGGACATCTTCGGAATGACACCATGAGACTACATGATCAATGGACATCTTCGGAATGACATCACGAGACTACATGATCAATGGACATCTTATGAATGACACCATGAGACTACATGATCAATGGACATCTTATGAATGACACCATGAGACTACATGATCAATGGACATCTTATGAATGACACCATGAGACTACATGATCAATGGACATCTTATGAATGACACCATGAGACTACATGATCAATGGACATCTTATGAATGACACCATGAGACTACATGATCAATGGACATCTTATGAATGACACCATGAGACTACATGATCAATGTCCATCTTATGCAGGTGAATATAGGAAGGTTCGTAATGCCTTTAGAGTTACAGTTGTGCTTCCAGGATCTGAGAGATGAACTCGAGAATTCGATCACCTGTATTGATGATTGTATAACTCGTATTGATTACATTTATTGATAGACTGTATATTAGGAGGCCATGCGCAGCGTTGATGCTCCTTAACGTGCTTCAGTTTCTCAATCACCCTCAGCTGTCTGCTATGATCAATGATCGGGATGAGGACACGCTGAGTTACATGAACAACTTACAGGTAAGTGCCCCATGTATGTCCTCAGATCCTCTTTATATGTTGTCCTTCTGATGTGGACATGTACTGGAAGCCAGAGGTCAAGAATCCGTGTTTAGCTGTAACCTTTTATTAGAATTGCCCAAAACATTCTTAAAGGGTAAGTTCACCTTTAGTAACATGTTACACCCGTTTTTAGGGTGTAACATGTAACACGTTACTAATGCAGCAGCCCAGCCCCGAGGAAGGGGGAGGCATTTCCCTCAAAACAAGTTGGCGTTACCTGACGCACGCTATCAATAAAGTTTTCAAACCGTCCTCCTGAGCGGTTTGGACTTTTGTACTGGGTGCTCCTCAATGCCCACCCCTGAGAAGACGCTGGACATCCTCCAGCCAGGAAATGCGCAATTGTGAAAAGCTCACAGTGTGCAGTGATGTCAGAGGAAGCCGTTTCAGTCCAGGGGAGGAGTCGGTACGCGTGTGCGAGACTGGAGGGGAGGAGCCGGTACGCCTGTGCGAGACTGGAGGGGAGGAGCCGGTGCGCCTGTGCGAGACTGGAGGGGAGGAGCCGGTGCGCCTGTGCGAGACTGGAGGGGAGGAGCCGGTGCGCCTGTGCGAGACTGGAGGGGAGGAGCCGGTGCGCCTGTGCGAGACTGGAGGGGAGGAGCCGGTGCGCCTGTGCGAGACTGGAGGGGAGGAGCCGGTGCGCCTGTGCGAGACTGGAGGGGAGGAGCCGGTGCGCCTGTGCGAGACTGGAGGGGAGGAGCCGGTGCGCCTGTGCGAGACTGGAGGGGAGGAGCCGGTGCGCCTGTGCGAGACTGGAGGGGAGGAGCCGGTGCGCCTGTGCGAGACTGGAGGGGAGGAGCCGGTGCGCCTGTGCGAGGGTGAAGGGGAGGAGCCGGCGCGCCTGTGCGAGGGTGAAGGGGAGGAGCCGGCGCGCCTGTGCGAGGGTGAAGGGGAGGAGGCGGCGCGCCTGTGCCGAGACCCAAGGCGGGGGGAGGCGGCGCGCCTGTGCCGAGACCCAAGGCGGGGGGGAGGCGGCGCGCCTGTGCCGAGACCCAAGGCGGGGGGAGGCGGCGCGCCTGTGCCGAGACCCAAGGCGGGGGGAGGCGGCGCTCCTGTGCCGAGACCGAAGGGGGTGGAGGATTTAAAGAAATGATCAGACTAACCATGAATTCCTCGCTGGCACGTGGTAGGATACATTCCGTGGACATTTAGTGATGCTGCTTCTTTATTTTGCGTCGCTCGTCGGGGATTTTACATTCGTTGTCAGACCTCTTTTCTGTTTCCAATAGGTGGAGGACATCACACACCTGAAGTCAAGCTGTAAAATCAAATTCTATTTCAACTCCAACCCTTATTTCAAGAATGACATCATCATCAAAGAGTTCCAGTACGGCCCCTCCGGTAAGTGCCGGTCTGCGCACCTTCTCACTCTCTGACCGTGTGATCTCATATTTTGTTGTCTTTCAGTTCTGCTTCCCACCTCAAATGTTTGCTTTGCAGCTCTTCTGAATGTCTGTGTATGTTGAGGGAGATTTGATATTATAACGAATGTAGATTTAAGATCGATCTTAGAGGAACTAAATGGTGGAAGGTGCGCCCAAGAAAAAGGCTGGCAGAGAGCAAAGGACTAGTCATCGGTATCCCTACAGATGATCTTTTCCCATTACTGATTGACTATGCCTTGTTCTGCACTGTGTTTCTGTATAGAGGCGGCCATCTTTGTAGAGAAGCAGGGCTTTGCCTCCTAACTGTAGAGCTGCTCCCCTTCCCATGACTGGTGGGGTAAGGAAAGAGGTGGAGGAAGCGTAGATCCAAAGCATTAATGAAGCAGGGAGATCCTGGCACTGCAGCTCCTCAGGTACAGTTTCCTCTTTGGCAAGGAGAACAGTGAGCAGCACAGTAGTAGGACCACCAATATTGCTTGTGGTCTCCCTGCGGACGATCTTTTCCCTGTTACAGACTTACCACGGCTTGTTCTGCACTCCTAATTGTAGAGTTGCTCCCCTTCCCATGACTGGTGATCTAAATACAGATCCAGAGAATGAATGAAGCTGAAGCAGGGAGATCCTGGCACTGCAGTTCCTCAGGTTCGGCTTCCTCTCAAGGAGAACAGTGAGCAGCACAGTAGTAGGACCACCAGTATTGCTTGTGGTCTCCCTGCAGATGATCTTTTCCCCATTATAGACTTACTGTGCCTTGTTTTGCAGTATGTCTCTGTCTGGAGGTGGTCATCTTTGTAGAGGAGCAGGGCTTTGCCTCCTGATTGTAGAGCTGCTCTCCTTCCCATGACTGGTGGGATAAAGATAGAGGTGGAGGAAGCACAGATCCAAAAAGTAAATGAAGCAGAAGCAGGGAGATCCTTAGGTACAGCTTCCTCTCCGGCAAGGGGAACAGTGAGCAGCACAGTAGTAGGACCACCAGTATTGCTTGTAGTCTCCCTGCAGATGATCTTTTGCCCATTGTAGACTTGCTGTGCCTTCTTCTGCACTATGTCTCTGTGTAGAGGTGGCCATCTTTGTAAAGAAGCAGAGCTGCTCTCCTTCCCATAACTGGTGGGGTAAAGATAGAGGTGGAGGAAGCTCAGATCTAAAGAATAAATGAAGCAGGGAGATCCTTGCACCGCAGTTCCTTAGCTACAGCTTCCTCTCCGGCAAGGAGAACAGAGAGAAGTACAGTAGTAGGACCACCAATATTGCTCGTGGTCTCCCTGCAGATGATCTTTTGCCCTTTGTAGACTTACTGTGCCTTCTTCTTCACTATGTCTCTGTGTAGAGGCGGCCATCTTTTTAAAGGAGCAGGGCTTTTCCTCCTATTGTTAGAGCTGTCCCCATTCCCATGACTGGTGGGATAAAGATAGAGATGAAGGTAGCTTCGATCTAACAAATGAAGCAGAAGCAGGGAGATCCTTGCACTGTAGTTCCTCAGGTACAGCTTCCTGACCTTGACCCAAACACTGAACTAGATCAAACCTTGATCTGGGTATTTTTTCTTTCTTTATTTATTTTTTTTTTATATTTAATATTTATTTATCTTTTCTTTTTTTTTTTTTATTTATCCTTTTTTTTCTAATTTAGGGCGCCTCACCTCCCACTCCACTCCCATTCGATGGTGGCGGGGGCAAAACCCAGACTCGTACCAAGGAAAATCTGCCAATGCCACACCGAGTTTTTTCAGCTGGTTCAACGATCACAGCTTTCCGGCAGCGGACCGTATAGCGGTGGTAAGTTCCCTAGGATGTATTCACCGTATTTATCGCCATAACATACCATGTCTCTGTCTACGGGTCCCAGGATGGTCAGATGTGAGCGATTTGTCAGGGTAGCAGAAAAGGTGTGTGCAGTTCAGGTGGTTTATGAATGTTGCCAAAGCCGTCCCAATTTTTTTTTACCGAATGGTCAGATTGTCTTTAACCACTTCCAGTCTCCAACACTTCCCCCCCCCCCTTCCAGTCCGACACCCCCCCCCCCCCCCCCCCTTCCAGTCCGACACTCCCCCCCCCCCCCCCTTCCAGTCCGACACTCCCCCCCCCCTCCCCCCCTTCCAGTCCGACACTCCCCCCCCTCCCCCCCTTCCAGTCCGACACTCCCCCCCCTCCCCCCCCCTTCCAGTCCGACACACTCCCCCCCCTCCCCCCCCTTCCAGTCCGACACTCCCCCCCCCCCCTCCCCCCCTTCCAGTCCGACACTCCCCCCCCCTCCCCCCCTTCCAGTCCGACACTCCCCCCCCCCCCCCCCCCCCTTCCAGTCCGACACTGCTCCCCCCCCTTCCATTCCGACACTAAACACCCCCCCCCCCCCCCCCCCCCCCCTCCCTTCCAGCAGTCCGGCACTCCCCTCCCCTTCCAGCAGTCCGGCACTCCCCTCCCCTTCCAGCAGTCCGGCACTCCCCTCCCCTTCCAGCAGTCCGGCACTCCCCTCCCCTTCCAGCAGTCCGGCACTCCCCTCCCCTTCCAGCAGTCCGGCACTCCCCTCCCCTTCCAGCAGTCCGGCACTCCCCTCCCCTTCCAGCAGTCCGGCACTCCCCTCCCCTTCCAGCAGTCCGGCACTCCCCTCCCCTTCCAGCAGTCCGGCACTCCCCTCCCCTTCCAGCAGTCCGGCACTCCCCTCCCCTTCCAGCAGTCCGGCACTCCCCTCCCCCCCCCCCCCTCCCCTTTCAGCAGTCCGGCACTCCCCTCCCCCTCCCCTCCCCTTTCAGCAGTCCGGCACTCCCCTCCCCTCCCCCTCCCCTCCCCTTTCAGCAGTCCGGCACTCCCCTCCCCTCCCCTCCCCTTTCAGCAGTCCGGCACTCCCCTCCCCTCCCCCTCCCCTCCCCTTTCAGCAGTCCGGCACTCCCCTCCCCTCCCCCTCCCCTCCCCTTTCAGCAGTCCGGCACTCCCCTCCCCTCCCCCTCCCCTCCCCTTCCAGCAGTCCGGCACTCCCCTCCCCTTCCAGCAGTCCGGCACTCCCCTCCCCCTCCCCTCCCCTTTCAGCAGTCCGGCACTCCCCTCCCCCTCCCCTCCCCTTTCAGCAGTCCGGCACTCCCCTCCCCCTCCCCTCCCCTTTCAGCAGTCCGACACTCCCCTAATTCCCCTCCCCTCCCCTTTCAGCAGTCCGACACTCCCCTCCCCCTCCCCTCCCCTTTCAGCAGTCCGACACTCCCCTCCCCCCTCCCCTCCCCTTTCAGCAGTCCGACACTCCCCCCCCCCCTCCCCTTTCAGCAGTCCGACACTCCCCTCCCCCTCCCCTCCCCTTTCAGCAGTCCAACACTCCCCTCCCCCCCCCCCCCACCTTCCAGTCACACAGAGGTCCTGTACGACGATCGGTGTTCCACTGTGTCACTATGGAGACACTGTACTGCTATGGTGACAGTATGCTACAAAAAAAAACAAATAAAATAAGAAAAAAAAGTAAAAAAATATTTTTGAAAAATTATCATTTTTTTTTACTAAAAATATAGCTGAATACATTTTTGGCCAAGATTTATGAAGAAAGATTATTTATTTGCAAAATTTTATAAAAATTTTTTTTTTCAAAATGTTTGGACTTTTTTTCATTTACATAGCAAAAAATACAAATCCCAGCGGTGATTAAATACCACCAAAATAAAGTTTTATCCGTCTTAAAAAGAATGCTAAAAAATTCATATGGGTCCAGTGTTGCATGACCGCGCAATTGTCATTCATAGCGTGACAGTGCTGAAAATTGGTCCGGACTGGAAGGGGGGGGTGAAAGGGTCGGGACCGGGAAGGGGGGGATGAAAGGCTCGGGACCGGGAAGGGGGGGGTGAAAGGCTCGGGACCGGGAAGGGGGGGTGAAAGGCTCGGGACCGGGAAGGGGGGGGTGAAAGGCTCGGGACCGGGAAGGGGGGGGTGAAAGGCTCGGGACCGGGAAGGGGGGGGTGAAAGGCTCGGGACCGGGAAGGGGGGGGTGAAAGGCTCGGGACCGGGAAGGGGGGGG